GGGGCTCGGTGGTGGGCGGGGCTCCGCGCTGAGCCGGCAGGTGGGGGCGGGGCCAGTCAGGCCGCCAGGTGAGGGGGCGGGGCCTCCCTGGCCGGTGGGCGTGGCCGCAGTGAGGGCCGGGGCAGGGCCCAGCTCGCCACCTCCCCCCCGCGGCCCGCAGCGCGCACTCACCTCCAGCTCCCGGCGCTGCTGGACGTGCACGGCCGCCACGATGGCGGCGGAGAGCAGCGCGGAGACGGCCAGCGCCAGGCGGGAGCCCCGCGACATGGCCGGCGGGGCGGCGCGGGGCCGCGGCGGGGGAAGCGCCGGGCGGGCGGGGGTGAAGGAGAGCGTGAGGCGGCGCACCCCGCCTCCGGCCGAGCGCCGAGCGCAGCGAGCCAGGCCCGAGCAGCCGAGCGCCGATGCGGGGCGGGGCGCAGCGCCGGGAGGCGGGGCCGGGAAGCCGCTCCCTGGAGCAGCCGCGGGCACTCGCACCCTCCTGGCCACAAGCTCTGACATGGGACGCTAAAAACGCGCCTTTGTTCCATCAGTGCCACCGGGGATTGGGTGCCCAGCTGTGCCGGGGTCTCCCGGGGCTGTTCGCCGGAGCTTCCTGCCGGCGAACACAAACAAAAGGAGGTTTCTCCTGCGTGCGAGAAACATTTCTGGTTTTGTCGAGTGAAGACCACCAGTCCTGTGCTCTCCTCGCCCAGAAATCCCGAATTGCATGGGAGAAGCAGCTGGAGAAAGCTGCTCTTCAATTGTTTGGTTTCTTCTCATTGTTCAGTGTGTGGCCTTAAGGCCTCGTGTTTGCCAGTTTTTCGTGCTCTGAAGACAGAATTATTCCATCCCCATCCCTTGTGCAGTGGAAGAGGGAAACCAAACACGTCAGGCTGATCCTTCCTCGTTATAATCTTTTTCATCTCTCTGCTGAATGAACGTGATTAAAATGAAAGGTGAAATTAGTGGGAATGATAATATTTCAATTGAGCCTAATGGCTGTGCTCACGTTGGTGTGTTTACTGTTATTAGGGTTTGTGCATAAGTGCCTGTAACGTGTCCAAGGCCACTGGAGTGCCAAGAATGGGGTCGAGCCAGAAGCCTGGTGGATTGGAGCCAACACTGCACCCTTGGCACCGGGGAAAGGTGCAGCTTCCCCCCGAGTGCCTCTACCCAACCCTGTCATTAAGCACTGGAGGGGCTAAAATCCCCAAGCAGGGAGCATTCAGGCTGTGCTTTCACGGTCTCAGTTCCTGCTATGGTGGTTCAGGTGTTCCTGTGCTCCTCCCTTTCTCCCAAGGGCTGGGCCTCACCGAAGGGCTCAGCTCCCCTACCGTGACCCTGCTCTTCTGCTTTGTCCCCTTTCCATGCTCTGGGGTGAGAGGGGACCTTTTCCAAGCCCAGATTAGCAGCTGGTCTGGTTTAAAACCTTGCAGCAGCCACGATGTGGAAAAGCCCATTTTCCTCTCTGTGAACCCGGCTGCAGGGGCAGGGAAGTGGTGTGATGGAGGTGGGAGGGTAGGAGTGCCCAGAAGGGATGCTGGGGAAAACCTTTCCAGCTGGTGGTGAGCAGGACACGAGAGAAGATTTCAGCCCAAGGAACACCAGCCTGGTGGCTGTGTCCATGAGACTCCCAAACAGAGAGGTAGAGGATGGGTTTAAGCTGAGGGAGAGATGGATCAGGAGGGCTTCTCTGCTGGTGAAAACTGTGCAATGCCCACAGCTTTCGTGCCCTCTTTCCTGTGCCTGGTTCCTCCTTTTCTGGCCTGGGAATAGCGGCGCAGCCGCCCATGGAGGTGGGGCCAAGCGCCAGCGAAGAAAGGATTGGGTCACGCCTGAAGGAGACTGGAAAGCTCAAGGCTGTTTTTTCCCCTGGGCAAACAGCTCAGACCTGGATAGTGCTCTTGGATAACATCTGCAGTCCATCCTTAGAGGGTATTTTTATCCTGGATTTCAAAGAAAATTCAGCTTGTGCAACCCCTGTGCCTCATCCATCCTCAACGCCCTTTCACAGGCATTTGGCACCCTCTTTGCTAAGGCTGCATTGCAGGCCCTGTCTCAGTAAGACTTCTATGTTTCTTTCCCTGTTCCAACCGTTCTGATGGATGAGGAGGAGTTCTGGCTAGGTTTTGTGTCATGGTGGTTACTCTGGGTAGCATCCTGTGAAGAGAAAGGGTGGCAGTGTCAGCTCAACCCTGTATTTGCCACCAGAGAATCCAGAAAACAAGCTGCTCAGTTGTGGCTTGCCTTAGTGGCAAAAGAAAAAGCACTGAAGCCTCAGGAAACCCCTGCAAGATATGGAAGGAGGGGGTGAAAATTTTGAACATAGCCCATTTGCAGGTTCGCATCCTGAACCACAGCCCCCTCCTGCTCCGTTTGTCCTGTGTAATGTGAGGAACCAACCTCCCTTATCAAACTGCAAGCTAACAAATAATAATTTTAAAAATCATCCTAAATCATCCTAAAGCTTTATTGGTTTCCCCTCAGGGTTCTGGTGAGCTGCTGGCTGTCCTTCCCTCTTTGCAGAGGCAGCTCTCTCTCCCTCCCTCCCTCCCAGCGCATACGTGTGTGTGTGTGTGTGTGTGTGTGCGTGCGCTGACACGGGGGGACTTTGCACACACCCAGAGCTCTCCACTGGGACACAGGGGCTCGGCCACCTCAGTGGCAAAGACAAAAACCCAAAACCTGAATTCAGCCCAACCCAGGCTTCCATTTGCCCTGTGAAGCTGAATGTGGGTGTGGGTGCCTGCATGGCTTTGCCAAGGTCTCGGTGTAGAGGCAGGGCTGAGGAGGGGAGCAGGCTGTGCCTGCTGCTGTTAGCATTGATTTTCTCTTTATGGCAGTGCTAATTATAGCAGCAAAAATAACTAATTGCTATGTTGTAGGTACTTTTAGCTCACTGTGATACCTTTTTCCCTTCTAGAACAGAATTACTCCTGTCCCTCTGCAACAGGGACAGACCTGGCTGTGGTGGTGTAGGCATTGATGATCCAGGTGCAGCCACCCTGGCCTTGCAGGAAATGTTTCTGTAGGATTTGCTAGCAGGGTCATGTTGCTGGTATTCAAAAGGGCATTATGCAGAGGAAAAAATTGTAATGTGTAACTTTTTGTGTCCCTCCTCTGTAATTCAGAGGGATGACTGAGGGATTCTCTGTGCACAGACACGCCAAAAAGTTTTAATTAATGAAAAGTATGTATTAATAATGCTTTATTTTGACCAGGTCAGCCTCCTTTCCAGACAGGTGGAGGTGTGCTTGGCCTTGGTGAGTTTCATTTTTTGATGGGCATGAATTAAGTGAAAGCCCTTGTAACTCATCCCCCCAGCACTTGCACAGAAAGAAGCTCCGTGAACCTGTTCTCAGCAGCAATTTGGATGAATTTTGTTGCTCCTCCCATTCAGACAAGCCCCAGGGCCCTCTGATAGTTCTTCCCAGGGAGCTGGAGGGAAGCAAATCTGATTGACCTGAGATTTGAATGATGGAGTAAAGATAAACTTGGAGGGGGGGAGGGGGGGAAGATGACAGAATTCTTTACGAGCAAGGAGCACTGAAACTTTCCTTCCATTTGAAGGGCAGCCTGTGAAACAGTTACTTTGGGTTTTAAATTCCCTTGCACTTCCTCCTTCCAGCAGTGAGGGTAAGAGCTCTGGGCAGCCACTGCTGGAGCCTTGCTGATTTTATAGCCGGGCTTGTGTGATTACAGCAGCCCTGGGGACGTCGGCGGGTCACCTCCAGCTAAATCAACTAAGGTGTGGAGCTGCCACCAGGCGCAAACACCTCCTATTGCCCTGGCCAGAGGGCGAAAAGGGGCCCCCCCCCCGTGACCTCAGACACCCCACAATCGATCCTTCCCTGACATCACCAGCATCAGGGAGTGAGGAGGGTCTGGATGCCCTCTCCCCACCATATCTGTCCCCACTTTCCCCATGGCATGGTTGGTCCCTGGCTCTCATTTTGGGGTGCTGCAGAGGGTACCTGACCCAGGGAGTGCAGCCTGGCTCCCTCCTGCAAGCGCTTCCCTTGAGAGGGGGATGAAATGCAGGCAGAGGCCAAAGTCTACCTGCTCTGTGGCAGGGAGAGGATGTAATCCCGGCATGCAATAATTATATTGGTGGCAATTGTACAGACCCTTGCCCGTGGCCATCGGGAGGCAGGAACTGCCGCAGCGCTGCTGAGAACTGGGGGCTGGGGTGCTTACTGGCTTAGGGTTGGGTTTTTTCTCTCCTGGAAATCATTGTGAAAGGCACTGGGAGTTCAAAACCATTGTGCATGGAACCCCAAAGTGTTGGCAGGGTAATTGTGCAGTCACCCTGCAGCTCGCAGGGCTGCCTCAAGACAGGAAGGTGTGGGGGGTCCTGGCCCCCAAAGCAGGGTGAGCTGCACCCCCCAGCCCACAACCTCCCAGGGCTCTCCCATGAGGAGGAGGGATCCTTGGGCTGCAGCCATGAAGGCAGCAGGGAGAGGAGAGCTCATCTGTGTGTGTGTGGAGGGGCCAGAGGCACCCATGGGTGCTGCAGCCAGCACTGAGTCCCCTCAGCAGTCAAACCAGAGCTGTAAGGAAAGGGGCCCTGCTGGAAGCGGCACCACTGAACTCCCTAGGCAATTCCACAGGCAGCGGGTGTGTATCCCGAAGTTTCGCTCATCCTGGGCGTGTTGGAGCACATGCTCTGCTGTAGCACAGGCGGGACAGGCAGGGACTCTCCAGCAGCAGCACTGGATCCCCCTTGGGAAGCAGCCCTCCCCCTACACGTGTGGCACCAGGATGAGGAGCAGGAAAGGTGCATCTCTAACACGGCAGTGTCTGAGCAGGAGTTGGGACATCCTATCCCATCCCCTGGCTCTCCTGGAGCTGTTTTGTGCTCGGGCTGGCATCACCACTGCCAGTGGCCAAGGCTGTCCTGGTGGTCTTCTTTGTCGGGGAGGAGCTGAGAGGAGTGCAGCAGAACCATCTTCTCTTTCTCCTGCTGCCAAACATCCCAGGAAGCTGCACTGCCGGAGTGTTTTGCCAGTGGTGGTAGCAATGGGACTGTCCCAGAGCACACAGCTGGGAACAGTTATTCCTTCCTCCAGCTGACCCCCTCTGCCCTTATCACTTCTTTCTCACTCTAATAATCCTGCAAAAGGAGAGGGATGGCAGGGACAGCACCTAGCCCCTCCTGGAGATTTTTGAAATGGTAAAGAAATGCTTGAACTCCATATGCATACAATGGGATTTATAGCAGCCGTCATCCGGCAGGAATGAGGAAGCCTTGGGGGGCCCCAGAGGTGCCATGGGGAGAGGACAGATGATT